AATTAACTGTTTTAACCACTGATTTATCTTCTCATTAATTTCCGAATTCCTTTAATATGTTCCTTTAAGAAAACAATCTATTCCTTTTAATCAGTAGTAGACATTCTATTTAAAGATAACAAGTCATCATATTTACAATCGTATGTCATCTGTTTTTATTTCTGCCCAGTATTGAGTTCGTCAAGTGATAAACAGGAAATGATTTCAAAACCATAAGGCATGACACTCATATAAGTGTTCCCTAATCAGCTACAACATAAAGTGGCCCAGTACCCACAGGTGCCAAGACCTCATGTACAAGGATGTATTGTTACTGTTTTGTTTGCCTGAGGAAGTCAAGCGGTGACGTATTGTAAAATAGAAATTTGTTCTTTTTCATTTTTGACGTAAAGTATTCAACCTTTTTATTATTTATTATCATTTTTTTTTTAAGTACTCGTGTCTGACCTTTTTTGTGATGTCCTGTTTTGAGGAGTTAATGTATCGTAGTGTTGCCACTGACTGGACCATTTAAAGATTAGTAACTTTTTAAAAACTTTTATTCTGACTAACTGTACAAGGTTCCCTTTAATCATACATTATGTTTGTCGTCTAAAATGGTCAGTAATATCAATACACTGGTAATTGCTCTAAGTTAAAGCATATTGACCTAATTTCATATGATCATCTATGTTCAACCAAAATGATTAATGCAATTCTTCATAAACATTATTCAAATAATCTGCAAAGTCAAATGCACATGATGATTATGTATATGCTTTAGGGCACATTTCTAAAGCCCTGTTGAAGAGTAATAAGTGAGTAATAATATGTGCTATATATTATACTTTGCATAAAAGTATCATTATAAAATGTGCACAGGAGTAGACTGGCTTCTTAGTGAGAGAGAGTGAGTGAGTGAGTGAGTGAGTGAGTGTGTGTGTGTGTGTCTGTAGTGTGTGTGTCTGTGTGTCTGTGTGTGTGTGTCTGTTGTGTGGTGTGTGTGTGTGTGTGTGTGTGTGTGTGTGTGTGTGTGTGTGTGTGTGTGTGTGTGTGTGTGTGTGTGTGTCTGTATTTGTGTCTGTGTGTCTGTGAGTGTGTGAATGTGGTGTGTGTGTGTGTGTGTGTGTGTGTCTGTATGTGTGTGTGTGTGTGTGTGTGTGTGTGTGTGTGTGTGTGTGTGTGTGTGTGTGTGTGTGTGTGTGTGTGTGTGTGTGTGTATGTGTGTGTGTGTGTGTGTGTGTCTGTGTGTGTGTGTGTGTGTGTGTGTGTGTGTGTGTGTCTGTAGTGTCTGTGTTGTGAGTGAATTTGTGAATGTGTGTCTGTGAGTGAATGTGTGTGTGTGTGTGTGTGTGTGTGTGTGTGTGTGTGTGTGTGTGTGTGTGTGTGTGTGTGTGTGTGTGTGTGTGTGTGTGTGTGTGTGTGTGTGTGTGTGTGTGTGTGTGTGTGTGTGTGTGTGTGAGTGAGAGTGAGAGTGAGAGTGAGAGTGAGACAGTCAAATGTATATGTGCAGAATTTCACCAAGGACATTACTACGTTTTGAAGATCCTAACAGTAAGAGGTCACACAGGGAATTCACATGTACCATGAAATCAAGTTAAGTTTTGTGACTCAAGTTTTTGACTAAGATATTGCTAGATATTTCTCAGGCATACAATATTAGCAAGTTGGGGATAAGTGCTTGGAATTATGAACTGATTTTTTAAATTATTATTTATTGTAAATATTATTTAGGTAATGATAAGTTTATTATGATTTGATTCTGAAATGGTCATTAGTCAATTATACTCATCAGTGCTTTTTGATACATATATCAGTGTTAATTTTCAAGTGCGTTTGGGCAAAGCCAAATTTATGATTTTTCTTTTTCTTTCTTTATTCAGAATAATAGAGTCATTCAAAATATTTTCCCACTTGATATTTTTGCTCACATTTAATAGACTTTAGTTAGGCACAGATCTGACAGCCGCAACTCAATACTTTGTCTCATACCAGCCATGGATGTTATCATTTCAGGAACACGAGATCAAGCAGTGTGGAGGAGCTGGCTCTCTCACCCTTCCATCAGCGGCCATGTTAACACTGCTGGTGCTGGCACATGTGTGTAATACTCTCAAGCTCCACTCGTGATAGTTCTGTTGACTACAGTAGCAAAGGCATGTGGAGGAAAAAATCAATGGTGTTATGTCGAAGTAGTGTTTCATTTGCTTCGTTTAGTATTAATATATTGGTCTACATTGTGATCTAGGGAAGGGGAGAGAATTTTTTGTGTATTGAGAGCTTTTTTTAACTAGTTGTGCAAGGATGAGTATTTGAGAGGTTGAACTCTGAATATGAATAAATCTGTTATAAGACCTACTTAATACTCTCTTTATATAGGGGACATTTCCTCTTTCTCGTGTGTACATACTGTGTGATTTTCTTATGGATATACCAGAAGGTGCAGTCTGTCAGGAAACAACACTCCTATCTTATAATAACCAGAGTCTGAAAAGTTTGTTTCTGAACATAGCAGACTGAATGTTAAGAGATAAGGGCTTCGTTCAACCAAAATATATCCTAGAGTTTTTAGAATATTCTTCACCAGCGATCAAGTGCATCCATGACAAGAAGAGAAAGCAGAAAATGGCAAGGCAAGATACTGCAGTTGTTCCAGGGAAATTCTCAATTGGCTCTTCCCACATGGATGAGAACCCCTATTTTGAACTGCTTAAGTGACCCAGTCCAGTGTTGACTTGTAAAGAAGAGACAATACAGTTTTTTTTCTCTCTCTCACTCTGGGAGTGTATAAGAATGCTCCTCTTTTCCAGGCATGACACCCCTAACCCACCTTTAGCATAAGGTTTAAAATTCTTCAGACTTACCTTGTGCTGCTGGACCTTACGAAGAGGGTCAGTGACACACTCTTCGGCTGGAATGTTTAAGAGGAAATCCTTTTTGGAAAAAGTGTTATAAAAAGACAGCAGAGTCAATACTGAATTGGGAAAACGTACTTGTAAGGAAAATAACGATGATGTGAGTTTTTTATCTTTGTACATATATCAAATCAGTGATGATTGGTTGGTTTGTGTAATCATTGTGTTTCTATGGACAATACTAAAATATCAATGCTCCTATATTACTAAGATAAATAAGAACCTAATTATGTTGTAAATCCTCTCTTTATTTTGGTCACTGTATTTCTCTCATCATTTTGACACCTGATTCATGCTTTATATAGTACCAAAAAGGTCTTTTTTGCTAATATCAAATCTTATAAAAAGTAATACTACAAACTTCAATGAGGTATTCAAATGGAGAGTACTATATTTATTAAAGAATTTACTTATATGTAGCGTAGATCTATCAGATAATTTACTAGACATTTTGGCTCATAGACAAATAGTAATCTTCATTTTTTTCAAGATGAGTTCATGCCATTTTATGTTTTGTGATTAGAGTATAGGAATTTTTACCAATAGGAAATCGTAGCAAGATTCCCAGGTGAAGAATATTTACCAAAAATAAGAATCCATATCAAGGGAGTGGCATATCACTCGGGTAATTTACACTTGTTATACTTTTTATTCTTACCTCGAGAAGGTAATATCAACTCAATTGTGATGTTTTTTCTTTATTGTTATTAGTGGTTTAATATTTTTTCTTTGATCCAAGACATATAAATATATATATAGATATATACAACAGTATTAGGGGCTTGATGCCTCAGCTGTGATGACGTGTAATTTCTGCTACAGTAGGACGGTCTTGTTATCGCTTGAATAGCAGCACAGTATCTTTAGGGATGTTTGTACAGCTGATATTGCAGCTCCAGAAGATTTACAGATTAAGACATGACTCTTAAATCTTTTAGATGAAATTGAAAACTTCAGTAAAGTTAAGGGTAATACAAATTAAGCATTGGAGAGGGAATGAAAAAAGAAAAGAGTGGGGGGGGGAAATTAGTATACTAAATTATTTAGACATTATCAAAATGAGATATGGCACAAGATTCCAAAAACCCTTTGTTTCCGAACAGATTGATACGTAAGTTCATCAGCTCTTCTAACAGTCCCTGAAGATGGTGTATTGCTACCATCTCTTAGTTTTCAAAGAGGCATTGGCATGACAAAGTTTTGTTTAGAATTAGCAAACATTTGGTATCACATTTATTACACTTAAAAGAAAGATACTATTAGATTGAAGGTTAATAATTTTCAGATATGTAAATATTCATCATGATGTGCTATACATGTACTGTTGTAGTCGCATGGTAAACTGGAGTCCATAATTCGAAACTAGAAGATATTTAAGGATATTTAAAAAAAAGAATCAAGATGGTTTTATTCCATGTGGATAATTACATACTCTTTAGTAACCCATTGTACATGTAAATTACTGTACGGTATTGTTTTTCTGATCTTATAACTTGTACTTGTTGTCAAGTTTCTACTGGATGATAGCCCGGTTGCAGGAGAATTGCATATACATATTCAGCAAGAAGAGTAACGGAATTCACACTGAGTCATCTTTTAAAACAGTCACAGGCAGCTCAGACTCCTGGTTTGGTCGATCCACATTCATGCTCACCGAAGAGAACTTGAATGCCATTATTCTTCCCATAGAGATATGTTATGCTCTTTTCTCTACCTGTTGTGGATTGCAGATAAATGTAGTTGCATTATGAGAGAAAATTATTCAGTTATGTTCATCGGGTCGATGATCCGATGTGAAATTAGGGCAAATAATTCAAGCTTCGCTGCAGTTTTAGGTCAAATGGCCATTAGAGATTAAAAAAAAAAATGTTGAATCTTGCCAAGGTGAAAGATGGCATTTTAACTGGTAATCATAAACGTTCATTAAGTATTTTGCTTAAGATCTGCAGCCAAGTGTCTTTCAATTGATAATGTGTACATGCTGTAGCAGTTTATTGATGTGCATACTTCTGTGTATGATTATATGGCATAACAATAGTCCTTTGTTGAGCATATTGTGCATGTATTCTTAGTACATATATTGTTTTCATGGTGCACATATTTGATCCTACTGTTTCCTGTTTGTTGTTATTTTCTAGTTAGTATATATTGTGCATCTCCACTTTCACTTTATCATAACTTTCCCATTTAATTACAAGATGCACATTGGAAAAATTGTTAGAGTTATGTCCACTCTCAGTTAACCGCAGTGTATGTACCGCAACCTGATTAGTACATACTTTTATTATTTGTCCGGTTTCAACATATTTAAATGTATACCTGCTATTTCTTTTTAAGGATTTTGTGTCACAAGAGCAACCATATTTTTGGCTGCCAGGTGATAATGCAGGTGTAGATATACTCATTTATATATTATCATTTGTAGACCATAGGTGAAAATTGTCAACTACGGGCTTGTGTGCACTGTAAACTTCTTGAATCTTTGTTCTTGTGGTATTTCTCCCGTGGATTTTCTTTCTCATCTCTTTCATGTGGGTTCCTTCTCTATAAACTGCATAATATGGAAATGATCCCTGTAGGTTATTGATGAGTAGTGGAGAAATTTTGCTAATACAGAAATTACTGATGCTTTATATAGAACTGTGTATGTCTCCACTTTTAGCGAGGAACTTTGCCTTCCGGCCAAGTTTCCGTGTCTGAAGTTGGCAATCAGTTATAATACTGTGAGGAAATTAGGAAGATTTAGTAAACCAAGGAATGTTTAGAATACCTTCCGTGCAATTATTTCATGGTACCATACTTCAGAATTTATTTATATAGGGAAATGCTACCTTGTATTATGACAGAATCCCTGCATTGTAATTCATTTCATAATGGGCAATTTTAGGTACTATATCAGTTAAGGGCCAAGTTAAGAAGGGCGAGAGGTCTCCCAGACTGTGGACCAACCAGCACCCCGCACCAATTAGAGTCTTGTCCTCAACCCACCAGGAACTCACACCAACCACGTCTTGCAGACCTATACGTTATATCATTACCTTTTTATAGAAAGCATTCCAGGCATGTTTGTTCTGCTGTCACTGTTTTGGAATGCAGCTAAAGCATAAGGGCTTCGATTCAGGTTTGGAGAAGATGGCTAATCTTTCATACCATTATGATTATATGCTTATGTGTCTGTGTGTGTATTCTCACACACACACACACACACACACTCACACACACACACGCACGCACACATATACATACATACATACACACATTCTCTAGCTGAATCAAGCCCTGTTCCGCCACTAAAGAAAAAAGTTCCTCAAAACAACAGAGTGTGCTTTAACTCTCTTGGTCATATCTTGTATTGGAAAGCTCTTGTGTGACATCTATACTTTCCAACTAAGGCTTTTAAAAGCTGGTGCTTTAAGAGGTTATCAGGACAAGTTTTTTTTTGTCATTGATTTTCCTCGACAATATTCCTCAGGCTGTGTGTTTGGGCCTTACCCACAGGCACACAGGAGGGGGATGGTAAGTCATCATGTTCAGCGACGAACTCTTCAAGAATCAAGTTTTGAACACCTTACAGTATCAAATAGTATTTGAAAATAATGTATTCGTAAAAATTTAGATTATGCTTATGAATGAAATAGGACTGAAAAAGTGAATGGATTATAATCCTCTAGATTTTCATGAGAAAAGCAGGTAAACCTAATGATTGTTTCATGTTTGTTAGATGTTTTTTCACCATTCTCAAATTGAATGTAAAGGAATTACCATCCCTCATTAGTCATGCATTGTCCATATATAGTGGCTGTAGCCAGAAAGATTCATGTGAGATGACTGTCCAAAAGTAATGTAAAGATATATTTTTGAAGAAGATACTAGTGTAAGGATACTAGTGTAAGTTTTTATTTCACTTTTTTTCTCCAAACTGAGCACATTCGCACGACAAAAGTCCACTAATTAACAAAGCACTAAATCTGAACTAATCCTTGAAGCAAATGCACCGATCCTCTCCAGGTTTGTATAGATCATCCTGCACGAGTCAGCTCCGAGTTCGTAGAGAGAGCACACGCCCCAAGACGGTGCCGAGGAAGCATCCGTCACACATAAGTGAGGGGAGACCTTTCGCCCTGGGGTCATTAGTGAGGGGAAGCTGATGACCTGTATCCACGGGTCAGCTTAGGTCAGGTACAGGAGAACCACCTGCTCAACTCCATCGGAAATTTTTGAAATGCTATGTGATGAAGCGCCATTTCAATGGACTTTTTAGGTCATTCGCAAATACTGTAACCTGCATAATAAACTTTAAAAAAAGAATCTCAGAGCAAGGATATTTTTTCAAAGACAAACTTCTAGCTTCTGGTTTCTGAAGCAGGGATGAATAATGATTTTTTTCTTTTCTTTTTTTTAACAAATATTTAATAATACTCTGGGGACAGTGAGTCAAATGGTTCAGTGGGCCTGATCTCTGACCCGTAGCCGGGAGAACAGTGACCTGAACGTCTTGCTGTTGTCTGACCAGCGCTGCCTGAGGTAAGCTCAGCGGGAATGTAGGAGTAGAGTGGAGTCTTGTAGGTCAATATTACTTGCCTTGCAGGTCACGCACACCTGTGTCCGCCTATGTAGCTCTCTTGCAAGGTCATTGGTTTATCTTTCATCAGCCTTTGACTTTTTTTCTCTTTTTTTTTTTAGCAGTGGAACAGGCAAGATGTTGATAATAATATATAGATCATAGATAATGCGTCCGTGTTAATGTCGTAATTACTACCACAGAAGTATACTATATATGCTGTGACTGTAATGATCTTATAGTTACTCAGCTTTCATGATGTAGTCACGTCCCACCTACAGATTGTGTCATGTTGATTCATAAAGAAATACAAGTACTGAAGGTTTCCCTTAGAGAATGTATTTTAGGAACAAGTCTCCATAAAAGAGATGACTTTTAGCATCATCGAGATCAAATACATTCAATATAATAGAAAGGCCATAGACTGAGCCGGCTAGCCCAAGCACTTGGCTACACAAGACGCGTGATATTAACCCTCAATACTCGACTTTCAGCATTAACTGTATAGAGCAGGCATCCAAGTGAGTAGGTCACACTATAAACATTGTGTAGCTATTTTTCACAAGTGCGACATCAAGTATAACTAAGAGGAGTCTTTTTGTGGGAATGGCTGCAATCTGTTGAAGACAAAGAGGAAGAAAAAACAATCGATTTCATTTTCATAGAGCGGATCTAAAATGCCTCCAAACTGAGGTTGTTTTTGGTGAAGACAATATGGATAATAATCGCTTCATTCTTTATGTCCGCGGAGGTTGCTGAATACAACCAAAGGCCAGTATGCCCAAGGAATGTATTGTGAAAGTCTTTCCGGCCATAAAAAAGTGTTTTGAGCAGTTTGCACATTTTAGCCAACAAAAATGCGCCTTAGGTCAGGTAGTCACGATTCCCAGGCGGTGCTCGAGAGTAACCTTCTCTTCTTTGACTATCTCGGCCGAGTTGGATACGAGGAACACAGTCTTTTCATTCTCAATTCATCTCCATTTGTTCATGGATGAATCAGGGGGTGGGATCAGGTAGAAAAATAAAATATATATACACATATGATAACCAAATACAGTAAAAATATAAAAAAAGAAATGAACTCATTGCTTAACAAAAAAGTGTAACCAATGTGTATTAAGTGTTCATCTGTTTCTCATTAAGATGGAGATGTGTGGTTTTGTATAACCGACCTTTCTAATTCCAGTATATGACTTTTTGTGTCCTGGAAATGAGTGTTCCTGTTGTTCCAGTACCGGCGTGGCTTTGAATTGTCCCGGCTTCTCTTGTTTGTCGATGTTGCTTCGGTGTTTGAGTGCTCTGTTTATGTTCGCCATTTTCCTTTTAATTTTCTATTAAAGTCCTACGCCACCCACTCCCACTCCCTCCACTTGCAAGAACTACAGACATGTACATTCACGATAAATACCATTTTATTTTGTGTTGGATGCTTCTGTTTACATGTGCGAAATTATATATATATATATAATCTCAAAAAACTCTTGTCTTCCAAGCACATGATAACACTTCATTACTTCCTACACTTTACACTGCAGACGGCATATCCAAAACCCGAAATAGAACTTTAAAGGACTTTCTATGGAGTCATCAACAATTTTCTTTTTCTTACAAATTACGAGCCACTAATTGTGTCTTAAAACCATTTTGATATTTTGGTATTGCACCGAGGAAGAGGTAGGCCATTAGTTAACAAATGAAGGTACGAGGACCCAGTGAATCCTTATGGTTATGTGCTTGGAGACGGTCTTATATACTATTCATTACAAGACGTTTCATTGATTAAAATTAGTCATGGTAATACCAGTCATTATATACGGGATATTTATCATATAAAGTCAAACTTTCCAAAAAAAGAAGAAAAAAAGTCTGCCATATTGATCAAACCCACCAACGAGGAGAATCATCTTTCACTGGCAACCTTTTAAGAGAAATTACAAAAAAAAGGAAAACACCCCCGCATTTCATTCATTCCTCCCCCATTCTCCCTTATTTGTGTGTGTAAAAAAGTCCGCAAGTTGATGACGCCAGAACACCAAGCACCACCACCCGCCCACACACACACACACACACAAGCACACCCAGAGCACTCCTTCACCGACCCTGGCATGGCTTCGTAGCTAAACTTTCAGGTGACGTGTTCTTCTAACCTCCCTGCGTAACGGTTTCTTCCATGCGACGCCTTCACTCCTCACGAGAGTTTATTTGTATCTTGAGGACACAATAAAATGTTAATTGTCTCTGTCGGGTTTGATTTCTGGAAAGTGTTGAGCATCCTTCTCCGTAAGTCTGTGTGTTAATTTGTTAAGATATATGATGATGTGTACACACATACACACACACACACATACACACACACACACACACACACACACACACACACACACACACAACACAACACACACACACACACACATTATATATATATATATATATATATATATATATATGTATAGAGTTTTGTTTATGTCACACACAACACACACACACACACACACACACACACACACACACACACACACCCACACACCACACACACACACACACA